CATGTTTGAATCTCACTCGTTTATATGTAAATTACATAGGAATTTCCAGGTCAAAAAATCATTGTGAAAAACATGATTGAATGTAAAAGAAATGGGAACACAATCGAAGACCACATGTATTGGAGCTCAAGCTTCGTTGATGTGACATCCACAAAATTATGATCAGCGCTGCAGCCATCCATAGCATATTAAAATATCTAGCTGAGAATGCGTCGTCCAATGCATGTTGTTATTCGCTGTGATGTATAAACTGCTACGTACCATGCGATGGACGACGCATTCTCAGCAAGGTATTTTAATATGATGTATGTCTCTCTTTTTTTTATTCACAAAAGTTGGTAAAGTACAAGGCCACTTTTAAAAACAAAATGTCATGAATAACAGCTTATTGAGTAACAAAAATAGGCCAACGCAGGCCTACTCCCCTACAAAAATCATTACAGAATCATTCTAGTGGTTCATTTACTCGTGTTTAACCCTCTAGTGCATAGCTCTGCCTTTAGGCGGAGTGTATGATTTATTGTCTAAAATATATAATTAAGCATTTTTTGAGAAAACTATGCACTTTTTTGAATTTCGATTATTTTTTCAAGGAATTATAAACCAAAACAATCAAAGAAAAATAGCTCTCATGTCGAAAAAAAATTAATGCATTAGAGGGTTATTTATTGCTGTAATTAAAAAAAGTGTTCTAAATTCAAAGCAAGTACAAATACGGCATAGAAGTAAAATCATTAAAATGACATTATCAGAGATTAATCATCGATTTATTCGTTTTTATCATATTCACTGCCAGTAATTTTCGTTTGTTTGCCATGTTTCAATAAATATCTTTCGTGTGAATCGAGTTTCATTGGTTCGATGCGTGACAATTGTTGAAATTGACCTTTAATTGTTTCGAAAAACCATGGATAACATTGACATTCGGCTTCAAATTCCAGTAACGTTTCAAACAGAATATCGTACAATTGCGGCAATATTCCGTGATCGAGAGTTGGAAATAGATGATGCAGTGCATGGTCACCAAAATTTGCCAAGGCCAAAAGTGTATTACCGCGTAACTCTTGACGATCCATTATTGTGTCGATTGAATACAGACCCCAGTCGTAGCATTTACTGAAAGATGAACAGCAGTTTTCGTCAAATTACAACGAAAAAAATTTAAAAAATATTTTTTTTCTCGAAAATTTAAAGTAATTTAAAAATCTGGTGAATTTTTTTGCATTTCTCGAAGGAGGTCTTTTTTAGAATTTTCGGATACATACCGTATTGCATCTCCATCATGAACAACCTGAAAAGGTAAAAAGGATAAAATTTCAAAAAGGATCGCAAAGGAGTCTTGTGCCCCAAATGATTAACAAAGCATAAAAAACCTCCGGATGATGATGTCCAGCATTCCATCCAATAACTCCGAAAATGAAACCTCCCGTTAAAGTGATGACCAAGAATAATTTGAAAGCAGATAACAGAGATAATACAGAGTGTTCACCACCAAATATGAACATAACAACCGGAACAATGAATGGAAGAAATTCATCTGCATACATTTTGTAACCGCGTGTCGCCGAGAAGTACAGTCTAAAAATGTGATTTTTCTTTTCTTTTGTGGATACATTCAAAGCATCATAGAAAAAAACTTACTTTTTCCCAAATTCAATAAAAAAAAGGAAGCAATAGAGTGGCGGTGAATAAATGTAAGAGGCATAACGTTGGAATGGAGTCTTTGCCGTTGCACTGGGCAACCACACCATAAATGGTTCCCATGCGCTCAGTTCCATATCAAGCAAAGAGTTTGGATACAAATGATGTGACAGAGCGTGACTAATGCGCCAATCGCGGTAGCTCATGAAAATTAAATTGAAATATTTCATTCTGTAATTATCTCGTTGATGAAAGTAGTTATGAGCACAAACACCGGTCCACGTGAAAAATAAGCTACACAACATCGCCATCGATATGCTATGGAAGCGTTGAGCGAGAATAGCTGTTAATAGTGTGAGTACAAATAGGCCATCAATGTAGAACTGAAAAGTGTCGTGTTTTAAAGAGGAAAAAATTATTACAGTTTCGAAAACGGGGCTTTCTCAAGGTCATGTTTTCAAAACTTTGTTAAATGTGAAAAGTCATCAAAAGTTGTTACCTTCGAATAAATTTTCGTTTTTTTCTTTATTTCTGGTAATTTAGCGGCCACTCTTCTGCGAAGCGTCATATAAAATCCATTCTCTTCGAAGGTCAATTTTACATTTCTCGGTCGAGTTGTTTCCTTCACGCGATATTTTGCCAAAAATGGTTCCAATTTTTTCGTGTCCAAATGGTGACTGAGAAAGGCTTCGGTTATGTCATGACCTTTGGTTATTCTTAGCCAGTCAGATCCGCCCGGATGTTTATTTATGAAGTCAGTCAAATCGTATAAAGTATTATGAATGCGCCATAAACCATTTTCTACATTATCATCGTCGCGTTTTGAATCCATCCACCTTCAATTATGTAAATTTAATTCATATAAAAATATTTTGATGAATTTGGAAATTTCGGATTTTCAAACCAATTTGACAACTTTTTTGCACCAAAAACTGTAATGCTATATGCACAAAACCACAGATTTTCGACCTTTACTGATACATTTTCAACTTACACTTGTGTTTCTCTGCTCGTTTTCGAGTAATATGATGGTGGAACATTTGTTATTAGCGATGGTCTTGCTGTGGCCACCATTTTTTTAGCTTCAGGAAAAAGGTATACTTGAAGACTGAAGAGTGTATTTCGAATTTAGCAGCGAATTGATTGAAAGTATCACGGCGACTGAAATAACAGCACTTGAAATGAATGTGAAGAGATGACCGAGATCAAAGCGTAACCGTCCAAAGTCCACCTTATCAATTTGTCCTTATCAAAGCATGCTTTACTTACAAGTAAACAGAAATTATTTATTCAATTAATTAAATGTATTCTCTCTGTCTTTCAGCTGTCATCACTCATCTCAAGATGTTTAAAATTAGAATTATCGCTTCTGTTGTGACTTCAGAAAAAAATGAAATCTTATGTAAACAAGTGCATGTGCTACTGATTTGCGCCATGACATAGAAGACATTGAATTACAACAAATTCAACTGTTTTTATTTTATTTGGCGGTGTTTTGCAAAACAAGTGGCAGAATTTTTTTAGCTAGTATATAGTGAATGAATTATAAACTTGATAAGTTCGTGACATCAAGAAATGATGCAATACAAACCGACTGACATAGACACATTGAAGTGTAGAGCGCATTTTCTCGTGCTTTAAAAAGTTGGGGTTGAAAAAGCATATAGCAAAATGATACAATTTGAGTTTTTGTCTCTCTATTTTATTGGGAAATCAATTTTTTTACTTTATTCGCTTCAATGTGCATTGATAAAGTCATTACAACAATTTTCATATCGATTTATTATTCTAAATATAATTTTAAATAACCAAGTGTGTTATGCAGTGCATTACTACTGCAATGGAAGCAATCGAATGAAATTGATACCTGTACTGCGGTGAATCAGTGACCAAAGTAATTTGATTGCTGTTATTATTATAAACACATTAAGGCCAGAAATTGACGTGGAAATGGAAATCCTTTATATAAATCTATTGGATATATCGAGAAGAGAGTATGTTATTCAGCGCTTATGGCTGAGTAATGTCTGAATAAAAACATACTCTCCTGTCGATATTTTCAATAGAAATGATATATATAATTCGAACAGTTGCTTTTTGGACATCCAAGTGATAATACGTATTTTATTGAGCAAATTTTTTTTTCAACACACACAAACTATTTTTGCTGTCTGGGTTACAACAAAACTTAGCTATCAGACGCGATACAGTATTTTACTGTAGTTTAAGTCAAAATTACAATATTTTGCTGTAACTTATTTTAATTTTTATTTAAATTCAATGGAATCTTATATTTTAAAATATCCAGTGATTAAACCATTTTTTGGTTTGATACTTTGAACAACCCGAAGCATGCGGAACGGTTTCAAAATGATTTGCACTGGTGTATATACACTATTGTAAAGTATGTATTCGTATCTGGTTGCGTGCTATGCTAGCAGCTGTACGCGACTGTGTGTGTGTGTGTGTGTTTACACGGACACAGTGCAAACCATTTTCTCTA